CAATGCCTGGCTATTTTTTTGTTGCAGTTGTCACTGTTGTTTTAGCAGGCCCAGGTCTGGTTCAAACCTGCCACCCTCGGTGCATGTGGCTGGCGCCGTAACCACTATGCTATGAGCCAAACATAAGGGCTTTAAAAGCTGTAAAACTCTTTTAACAAAACATAGGAGGAAAACTTTGTAATACTGAACTGGGAAATGACTTCTTAGATATGACAAAAAAGCACAGGCAACCAAAGTAAAACTTAAGTGCACAAAAATTTAAAAATCTGTGAATCAAACAATACAATCCCTAGAGTAAAACTACAACCTATGGAATGGGAAGAAATATGTGCAAATCATATATCTAATAAGGAATTAATATCCACTATATATGAATAACTCCTACAAATCAAAAAAACCCAAAAAATCTAATTATAAAATAGGCAGAGACTGGGAGTGGTAGTTCACACGTGTAATCCTAGCACTCTGGGAGGCTAAGACAGGGGGATCAACTGCGCTCAGGAGTTCAAGACCAGTCTGATCAAAAGTGAGACCCTGTCTCTACTAAAAATAGAAAAACTAGATGGGCGTTGTGGTAGGTGCCTGTAGTCATAGCTGCTTGGGAGGCTAAAGCAAGAGGATTACTTAGCCCAAGAGTTTGAGGTTGCTATGAGATAGGCTGATGCCAAGGCACTCTGCCCAGGGCAACGGAGTGAGACTTGGCATAAAGATATACAGACCAATAGAACAGACTAGAAAGGCCAAAAATAAAAACCCTACAAATGATTTTGACAAGGGTACCAGCCATTCAATGGGGAAAGGACCGTCTTTTCAACAAATGGTGTTGGAAAAACAAGGTATTCACATGCAAAAAATGAACTTGGACCCTTACCTTACACTGTATGCAAAAACCAACTCGAAATTCATAAAAGACATTTAAGAGTTAAAACTGCACAACTCCCAAAATAAGCCATATGGTAAAAGCTTCCTAACATTGAATTTGGTAAAGACTTCTTGAGTATGACAACAAAAACATAAGAAACAAAAGAAAAAATAAACAAGTTGTACTTCATGAAAATGAAAAACTTTTATGCATCAAAAGACACTATCAGCTCGGCGCCTGTAGCTAAGTGGCTAAGGTGCCAGCCACGTACACCAGAGCTAGCGGGTTCAAATCCAGCCTTGGCCTACCAACAATGACAACAACAACCAAAAAACAGCTGGGCATTGTGGTGGGCAACTGTTGTCCCAGCTACTTGGGAGGCTGAGGGAAGAGAATTGCTTAAGCCCAGTAGTTGGAGGTTGCCGTGAGCTGTGATGCCACAGCACTCTACCCAGGGTGACAGCTTGAGGTTCTGTCAAAAAAAAAAAAAAAAAAAAAAAGACACTATCAACAGAGTAAAAAAGGCACTAAACAAAATGGGAGAGAAGTTCCCTTATCTGACAAGGGATGAAGATCCAAAATACATAGGGAAATTCTAAAACTCAACCAGAAAACAAATAATCTCTGATTCAAAAATGTGCAAAGGACTTAAATAGACATTTCTTCAAAGTAGATATACAATCAACCAAAAAGCTTAGGACAAGGTGCTTAACATCACTAATCATTAGAAAAATGCAAATCAAAACCAAAATGAGATACCACCGCAAACCCATTAGAATGGATATTACAAAAAAAGCTGAAAATAACAAGTGTAAACAATAACGTGCAGAAATTGAAACCCTTGTACACCGCCAGTGGGAATGTAAACTGATGCTACTGTGGAAAACAACATGGCTGTTCCTGAAAAATTAAACACAAAATTACCATATGATCTAGCAATGCCACTTCTGAGTTTCTACCTAAAAGAAGTGAAATTAAGGACTTCTACAGATTATCTGTACACTAATATGCACAGCACCATTACTCACAATACTCAAAAAGTAAATGTCTATCAACAGATGAACAGATAAAGAAAATGTGGTATATGCAGTTAACCCCTGAACAATACAGATCTGAACCACATGTGTCCACTTCTCTGCAGATTTTCTTTAGCCTCTGCCACCTGAGACAGCAAGACCAACCCCTTCTCTTCCATCTCTTCAGCCTACTCAATGTGAAGAGAACAAAGATTTTTATGATGATCTACTTCTACTTAATAGTATGTAT